TTCCAATGACCTGTATTCGGTTATACCAGACTCTCTCGATGCTTCCCTTGACCTAACCGCTACCAATTTAATTACGGAACTGCGAGCACTTATGTGTAATTAACTTAATTAACGGGCCACTTCATTTTAAACTGGTTATTATGAGATATTTTAATTGTGTTTATTGATAATTCAATTAAACTGGAAGAGTTACATTATAATGTCAACTTATGGATTTTATCTTACAAAACATTAATTAAACGTAGTTTTTGTTAATGTTAAATTAATCATCTAAATGATAATTCGCCCCGTAATGACTAATCACTCCGCAACTTAGTCTTAATCCTTTACCTTATAATTGTAGGATTGAGACCTATAGAATTCGGAAATGGATTTCCTCAAAGGTGGTGGCACAAAAGGACTAGCTATGCAATTAGTGTGGAGCCTACGCTCAAAGACTACGACAACTAAAAGCCCAATCTTCCTGCCATTCTGCTGTCAGAAGCCATTGCCAGTCAGGTTCCATACAGCACAGCTTGACATTTTCTGGCCCATTGTTTTGCTTCCATCACGTTATGGACCATGGATGGACAAAGGCTGAAGCGGGCTGTCGACCGATCAAAGCATGTACGGCGCACTATTGTTCACTCACGACATTGGATGTAAATTAATTGAAAATTCACTTTCCACTTAATTCGCATACAATGAATACGCGTTTGTAATTATGCATTTTTCAATCTGTACTAATATTATAAAGAGGTAAAATTTGTAAGTTTGTATGTTTGTAAGTTTGTAGGTTGGGGGTAATCTTTGGAACCGCTGGTCGGATTGCCAAAATTCTTTCACTGATAGATAGCTACTACAATGTTCCTGAGTGCTCAACAACATGGAACCGAGCAGCGAGTAAAACCGCGTGAGAGTAAACAGTTTAAAATATTTCTGTATTTTTCATGAGTTGATAAAAATAAGTGTTCCAAAAATGATATCATTCAAGTAATTCAATAATAATAAGACTTTATTTTACCCACGAACATTCCGTAGCACAAATAAAAACTTCCACTTTCCAGTAAAATACTGATAAACACATTTAGCGGCCACATTGAAAGAATTTCCTTTTAGCCGATGCCTTCGGTTCAATTACACCGTTTATAGGCACGTTCAAACTGTCAGCAAGTGAGAAAGGTGAGCGTAGTTGCCCTTTCAAAGTGTGGATTCCAATGAAGAACATGCAAAGGCTCTTTTAAAAATAAACAAATTCTAACAGTTGTTACGTAACACTGCAAGTTCATACTATTACCGTGTCCGGCAATGATTTCAATGTGGAAATGTGGACTCTATCACCTAACGGTTTGAGTCCAAAGTCACCCTGTATTGACGAATGAGTAAATACAAACAGCACATTTATTTACTGGGAATCTCTGACTTGTATTTTTTCGCTTCTAACTGAATTTATAAGAAAACTGTACCGTATATTGTTGAGATTCTATAAGGCGCTTACAAAGTGTCGGGACCAATTGATCTTTAATTTTTAAGATGCTTACGAAGTCTCTACCATTTTGAGTTTCAGCGGTTCTAACTTCTATTTTATAATATAATGCCACTCCAAGTTGAAAGTTTCTTTCGTGGAAAATTATTTGCTCAATATTTTTATTAGTTTAGTCTTTTTTACATTATTTGCTTTGTATTTAAATTAAAAAGGTTGCGATGTTCTGACGTAAATTTTCCAGCATATTTTTTTGTTCTTTTGAATTGTATCTTTAACTGTTTCGTTACATATTTTAAATGAATTATGAGTTTTTCTTCGGAAAAAAGTAACTTTAAAGTATAGAATGTGTTATCATTGGAATACATTTTGCTTTTGTTCATACCTCGGGTAACGTGCAACAAATTGGGTCAATACTAAGTATTACTGAATTCTTATTGCGTGTGTGTCTATTTGAAACATTATAATATTAAATGTTAAAATTTTGATGAAATTCATTTATTTATTTAATGGGACCTTAATAGCATAAAAATGGTAATTGGTTTCTCAGAAATTATAGCAATAATCATAAAACAACATTAAAATAAAGTATAAAAATTATGTTAACTCAATACACTTCTCACATTTACATTTTAGCTCAGTGACTACCTGGAAACTGTATCGTGTATTATTGCCTAACCATTCGTAGCATTTCGTAGCTAATCGTAGCGCTTCGTAGTACGACGTAGCGTTCGTAGCATGGGATACTACGATTAACTTGTAAAAGAACTCAAAAAATATCGGAGACTTATGGTATCGAGTTTATCCCTATTATTGACTGTTTAAATCACAATCTGTGCAGATGATATTCAGAATATTAATATTTACTTTAAGTTTATTGATTAGTTTCTAAAATATTTGACCTAACTTGCCTGACCATTTCGCATTAAAATGTCAATAACAAAGTAGACACTTCATCCTTTAATTAAAATAACGAGCTCCATGTAATTACTAGGCACTGCATCATTGATGAAATGCCACAAAATTGCAGATCGAAAACCAGCTTTTTGTCATAGGAATTAGGTTACCTGCCGTATAATTAATTTGAACGATAATTGCAGCCTTTGAACAGAATATCATTTTATGAAATAGAACTGAATTACCGGAACAAAAGACTATAATTTTGCTTCATTTAAAATTCACTTTGGTCAGTCGTGACATTGTAACCTGCATCGTGCGACGGGAATTTCATTTAGTGGCGGCTTTGTGGTCGCTGTATAGTTTTGAATATAACCTTGGCTATGTGTGTCAAGGCTCGTCTATTATGCACTTTTCGGAACCCATTTCAACGAGTTTCCAACAATATAATATATGTTTGTTATTAGGAAAAGAAATGGTATTGTCTGATCTAAATCACAAGTTATGACATTTTTACATTTATACATTACTACCTACATTTTTTGTATCGATAGAAATTGGATAAGTTGCATTATCTAGCAATACAGTACTCTGTAAACTAAGTACATTATTTTGCAAAAGATAGAAAAAATATGAAGTATTTATTTAAATAAAACAGAGGAATCCAGCACCGGGGAGGAAAACAGAATCAATTTTGGCGAACTCGAATGAACAATGCATCTTGCATAAAGCACAGAATACGACATACATATATGTACCACAGTATAATATATATTGCGACTCGTGTTGACAACGAAAGGCTATTCGGTTTTTACAGCAGATAGTTTCACTGTGCTGAGAGTTTTATTGTTTAGTGAACGTTTGTTCACCGCATCCAAAGTTCTATATCCCGCTATCAACATTGTGTTCGGGACTAACCCGGTAGTAAAACAGGTAACGAGATATCTAAGCTACGCTACTAAAATAGTAGAGCAAAATAGCTCCTAAACTTGAGTCATTAAAGTATATTTTGTCAAAAACATTTCAATAATAAATTTAAAGTAAATCTATAAATACACGAAAATAAGTATGCAGCTTAAAACATCTCCAGAATCCTATCCTCACAATGTTCTGATACAACATCATATTACTAAGCCTCATAGCTACAACAAAGAAAGACAACCAAATACATTTTAACATTCAATTCGGTAAGAATTTTCTAGTCTCAGATATAAATAAAAAAGTAATAATGAACGGTACCACGTCACGTAATCCAACAAACTAAACAAAAATCGTTAAACAGTTTATCGGCCATCATGAATTTCAATTTAAATGCTTCAAAACACGGTCGGTGATTGGTCGTCATTTATTGTACAGTGCATTCTAATTAACAAGTAATTATCTTTATTGTAGTGCCTTCATTAAATACCCCTGTCATTGACGTACAGTATAATTTGCTCTTTTCATATATTTTTGCATTGAATTTGTATGCCATTTGTAATTAGATTTTAATAATAATAATGAAGTTCTAGTTAACACAACTTCAAAGCCTTTTAAAACGCTGTTATTGGTATAACGAGTATCATGGAAATCGAAAGTGTTTTAAATATACTTTCGGAGGTATATAGTCCACTCTAAATTTAAATTGTGTTTTCTCTAGATTAATAACAAACCAGATAGTCAAAAAGTCTTCGCACAGAATAAATCATGGTACCACCGGACTTGCAATGAACCCATCATATACCTATTCATAAATGTTAAGAGACATGAAGTTACATAAATAACATTATCTATAATCACGTTTCCATGAAAATAGAAAACAAAAACCTTTTCATACGAAATTTAAGTCGATAAACAAAAGGTATTGAATTGGACATAAAGAGGCTTATCGCGGCCTACACCTGAAGGGTAACTCTTCCCTGTCGTACGCATGACCCTATTCGTACGTCTGCGGTGTCTGCCCGGTTGTCTGGTCCCGTCAGGCTGTCTGGCTGGTACGGTATGTATCGTACGCCACGCCGCGGTCGCGCGTCACACAGTCTCACTTTCAAGGTCCCTGTCTACTCACTCGGTATCGCCGTACGCCAGACACCACTCTCTAGTATTGTATCACACGTAATTGTTACTAAATTGTTTACCCATCAAAGAGCTATTATGTAGTCCTGATTTATTTTCTTTTGTCATATTTTGTTTTGGAAGATATTAATACATGTAGAGATAATTTTGATCTCGAATATTGAGAATTTATTGTATACCTGTTTTACTCGACATAGGCTTGTAGTATAAACTTCGCTAATGACGTCACTCCGACTTTACGTTGTTACATTCTTTGGTAAACTTGTTTATGTTACAAAGTTTATTTACGTTCTTGTACGTGTAAACATGTTGAGAACAGAGTTTAAATAAAAATCAACCTGTACAGCACTGTACATAATAATGTTTTTAAGTTTAAAGATAAAGAAACATATCTTAAACTTTGCTGTGTTGGTGGTTCGTTGAAAACAAAATTACATCGTATTAATAAGAACAAAATTGTAAACGCGCTAGGTATTATCCACACATTAGTATGTTTAAACATACGACACATTACGAATAATAAATAAAAATGGGCTCCAGTGTGAAATAACCTGAAAGAGAAGTACAGAGTAGAGTGGTGACTCACCTCGGAGACCTCACTCTGGCATGACTCGACGCTCTTGGTCAACTCCTGGAGCTGCGTGCGGATCTCGCAGAGCGCCACCGTCGTCTCCAACTGACGGTCCCCTCGTTGCAGGTCATCCAGTTTGGCGGATAGATTCATGCTCATTATGCTCACCTGTCTCTGTAGGCTACAGCCAAAGTCAATGTTAGTCACACCAGCCTGCGCATCCCCTACTGACTCTAAGCCAACTCGACCTTCCCCGCCGATACAACAAATCAAACTGTACAGAATTACTGAATTACTAACCCCTTTAGATTACATTAAACTAATTCTTCTATCTACGATCATTAATTTAATAGCTTCCCACTAATAATTACACATGACATAAATCACTGAAAGTTGTAACTGATCTAAATAAAGTTGTGGACATAATACCCGTGAGATAATCACATGTTTAGTAAACAATGCTTTTGTTTTGTCGTAAAGAAGCGAGAAAGGTCAGCCGGCCGCGACACTATGTGGGATGTATGAGTAAATTATTATTGTTATCACATTAGTATTTATAAAAGTCACATTGTTTGTTAACAAAGATATCAAATAACCGCACACGAGTGCTTCATTACGAGTCACAACACACATTTTATTCGTCAAATCTATTAAATCGTCTATCGAAAAAGTAAAATAAGTAATAAGACTTTTTTAAGGTTTCAACGTCTTTCTAAATTCCATCTACGATACTATAATGTAGTTTTGAATACAAAAAACATAATTAATAAATCAAAATGTGTTTGATTTACAGAATGGAATTTTAATAAGTTTTGAAACGAGAATTCTTTATGCGTATTTAGTGTTTCGTGTGAATTATAAATGTCATTGTGCTAATCAAAATAAAGTAATGTTATTTATTTAATAATTTATTACCAAAAATTTTAAGGTGAAAGGTGAACACAGACAAAGGATGAATGCAGTGAGTCAAGTTTAATATATCACTTCTAAGACTTTATACACTGTTCTTGGAAACACGTGAAATGACACCTCTTTTAAGACAGTCTATTATTTGCCTTCTAATATCTATGGAAAGACTTGATTGAAACACTACATTGAAACGTTACAACCACACCCATGCAAGCATAACCCCGTCCTATCCCAAGGTTAATGTCTGAGGCAAGTGCTAAGCACGCAATGTGTTCCGGGTAGCGAGAGACAAACAAGGTCGTGGCCATAGATGCTAACCACGGTGCCATGGTCCGATGTTATGATAGGAACTGTGAATGATTCAGCCACCGCGAGTCGACTCGTCAACGCATCGTCATATCTGTTATACGAGATAGGATGCTAAGCCAAGGTGAAACAAAATGTAGAAGACACATCGACACATAGAGAGATCCTTATGATCGTATGCAAATGAAGCCAGTATTAAAGGCGGAAAGCTATCCGGTATTGTCGCTATGGTCACGTACCTAAGTAGTAGCTCCCTGAGTGTGGTCTCGTCTTCCTCCGTCGTCGCATATCGTGTCAGCTTGCCTCCGGCCTCCCGGCCCACATGGTCTGGTACCACTGCGTCAAAACTACTTGTTTATTTTATTTTTTACATAACTAACTTCCCGATTCGTTTCATCATTCCTATCCTGATTGGTTCTGTATCATTGCCGCAGAGTTTGTGGTTTGGAATTTTGAAAACCGAAAGGATGCGTGGCTCATAATTTTGAACGGTTGGTGCTACGAGTACCTACTCAGCATCGAACCTTACACCGCTTGCCAATTAGCTTCAATGGCCACGACAGGGTCCCTAATCAATTTTGATGTTCAGCGATGCCCACAAACTGGTATGGAAATGAGAAATTAAGGTCGAATTTTTATTCATAAAATGAAGGTGTTTTAATTTAGACAAATAAAATGTTTAAACAAAATAAAAATATACGTTTAGCACCTTATGAATTTAGCGCGAAAGACATTTTATTAATTTTAGTTGTGGATTAATGATTGCAGTTTTATATTTGATTTATTTTATAGTTTACGTACACGTTTTGTTAGGTTCCTGTGAAGTTTAGATTATTTAAAAAGCTACATTTGTACCGTGAAATTTTCCTGCAACATAGCGAGAAAACTGCACGTTATTATTAGAACGCGAGCCAATGAATGAAAACACAAATGAATTTACAACAGAGACAGCGTGAGTTCCGAAATGTGACAGAATCCGAAGAAATGTGTGATAGGACGTGACAGACACTTTACATGCACGTGACAACACTACAACACCAAACATGATCAAATGACACAATGGTTTGACGAAAAACATGTTAAAGGTCATGTAGAAGAAGAAATCACGATTAGATACTTTGAATTTTCCGACTCTTTATTTCCATAATTACACAAACAGCTTAAAGCATTAAATTTAGTTTGTATAAAAGCACGTGTGAATGTTTCAAAGTTTCTATTTCACTCCGTACTATGTGCTGCATTTCCAGGAACACATTTCATTGACGGGCGCCGAGCAAAATAACTACACTATTCTCGCAGTTCTCTCAAAGTGAATGGTTTAAATCTGGAATTTCTGATACAGGCACTCACACACAAGTTTCATTCATGGAACACCACTACATCAATGCTTACAACAGATACTTTACTAGCTATTTATGAATGGGACATTTATAGTGACTACACGCTGCGCAATTTGTCTGACGATTTTCATTATATATTGTAATGATTTGTGGTTATAATACTGACTTAAATAGGAGGTTAAGGACACTTATTTATAGGTATTCGTGCCATACAAAATTTATGATTCAATCAATCATCAATACTTAAAAATAGGTTAAGTGTAAACTCCAAAATTTGAAAAATGAAACGTGTCGAACTTTTCTACGGAGGTTTGGCAATACGATCGCCCTTCAGTGTGGCGTCGACGTCATGTCAGAAGAAGCGACAGATTGGTTCAACTATCCGTCATGCATATTCGATCTCTCGACAACAATGCAATGTATTCGCTACCTATTTACACGAATATAAGAGAGCCTTTCTATTTCTGAAAAATGAAAGCGAATCTGTTAGTTGCAGGACGTGGAGCTGGTCCTACATTTTCTAGTACTATGTATTCGTTTACAAACAAATGTCGCTTAGTGTTAGGTTTGAAAATAGTATTAAGTTTAAAATGAATGCGGCTTTAGGTGTTTCGTGAAATGGACGGTAGATTTATGTTTTTTCTTGCAACTTTCAGTGTAGTTTCGTTTTGAGTATGATTTTGATTTGCGAAAAACCTTTCGAGATATTCTTTTTTATCTATTTACTATTTTTGATTTTCTATGTCTTTCATGGATTTATATTATCCTTAGAATATTAGTACTATTTAATATTGAATTTAATATTTTTACTCTTAATGTTAAGTTGGGCCATAATAAAAAAGTTCTTTCCTAAATGATCTTACAGTCAACGACGATTACTCATGTCTTTAATGCCGGTCCTATAGTTATATAGAGAGCTAAAATCGAGCTTATTGCTGTGTCATTACAGAACAATATAAAATTGCACTTGTACTGCTGTTTTAGTGTCAAAAAGGAATTAGTTTGAGACTATTCAAGACTGTATTACGATTCATATAATATGTGTGTATTAGCACAGTAATATATAGTAGTATCACTATTACCTACGTGTAACATATCCTGAAAGCTAGAGAAACTACATAAGTCGGGCGATCTCTCCATCAACCAGACTATCAACCTCAATCGACTTTCGACTTTATATACCTTACAGTATCGTCGAATTTCCATAGAATTAATGTAATGTATTGGAGTCTGCATAATTATTTAAAGCTTTCAGTTGCAGCGGCATTCATACTATTTCCCCATTCCATAAAGCGAGTGCCGTGTCTTTGTGGAATGTCCAAAAGTGGATGGGATCGAGTTCTCTTTGTTTTTTTTTTAAATAACTTAAGTTTAAGTAATGGTTACAAGTCATCATCATCACCTGCCTATATTAAGTGTCCACTGCTGAGTATACGCCTCTTCCCACACGAATAATAATATGTACGAGCATTATTCACCACGATTGCTCAAATCGGATTGGCTATTTCAAACTAATACTTACAGGTTACAACCTAAGAAAGTAAATAGAACTGGAAAAAATGCCAATACGTACTTGCTAGGTTTCGAACGCGCATTCACACGCTTTAACCTCCAATTATTGTAACTAGACTTTTGTAATATATATATTTTTTTTTTTTTTGATAAATATGAGGAACATATCACGTTCATTATAAATCGAATGTATTGTATGTTGCAAGTTAAGCTCTAGAGCCGGGTTTACAGGCTTGGAGCGTTGAAAGGAGTCCTGTGTATATATTATTACTGTTTTGTATCTCCACGGCCACGTCCCTTTCAGAGATTATAACGGTACAAAGCAAAGACTGTCGAAAATCATAAATAAAATTTTCGATGCTTAAATCTTCTTTAACAAGGACGGCTTTTAATAATCGATTGGCCAATTAATACTAATTGGGTAATATGGAAGGATTATCAAGTTAATAATGATGGAAGAAAATATTTCCCTTGCTGAAATTACACTTAATCGGCTTATTGAGTATCAAATGAGTGGAAAATGATGATTGAGAGGTATTAATTTTTTTGCGACTGTCGAAAAATATAATATAAGTGTCTTATATCTCGGAAAATTTATATTTTTACTCGGCAACAAAGGGAACAATATCTCGATTCGATTATATTGTTGTTAGGCGATTACTTCGCTAATTGTGAATCGATTTTGATGAATCCGTTTTCGGCTGATACATCATGTTTTAGTGGTGATAACGTTGCTATTTTAACTTTTCGATTTAATGACGGCTTTCATGGAAAATTTAGAGATAAATTTAGAAGCTTTCTACGTAAATATTTGAGTACCTATTAATAAGATATATGTATGAGTAAGTTGTTGATGCGAAATTCTCTTCGATAGTTAGAAGTATCAGAACTACAGAGTATTTATCAAATAAGCCTATGTGTTTTAAAAACAGGTTTTTACCTAAGTACTATTAATTTTGTTCAAGACTCCCATCATCTCTCTGACTAAATCAATCTATCTGGAAGTAGGACATAACAACATAACAACTTTAAAATAGATCTATTTTTTATCATGTAGTGCCTTTTGTGTAATTTATATTTCATTTTCTTCAC